TGATTAGGAAGTGATAGTTGCTCTCCCTCCGATATAGTTAAATCATACTCGCTGCCCTCCGATCCAGTAAGATGTGAACTACCTGCTAGAACTCTACCCATGTCGAAGGATTTTAAATTCAATCTAGCAGTGGAAGTTTTCCGTTTTGTCACTTCCAATTCATCTGTTAATTCAAGACAACCATGTATCATATAATTCGATCTTTCAAAGATTCTAGATTAACAAGAATCTAAAAATTAATTAATGAAGTATATTATTATTACCTGCAGAGGTTTCCTTCTTAATAAATTCTGGATCCCAGGGTGGAACTTGAGCAAGTATAGCTTGCACAGCATGAGCGGCCGATACCCGAGTATCCCATTGTGGAGATTTTAATAAAGTAGAGACTCTTGCTAATAAATGATGCAAATCATGAGGATGTAATCTCTGTGCTTCCCCCAGCTGTTGCGCAGCTGCTCGTTTAGTTACCGCATTTGTTCCAGTCTCCAGCAGTATAAATAATCTATCTAATCTATAAAAGTAAATTACAAATTATTCGATGTAATGCATAATGCATTTTATTGGCAGAGATTAAAAAACTTACACATAGAGATACTTTAAAATGTATATTTGTTTACACTATTCACGCGAGATATAATTGCATAAATGTATGTATTAACAAATACATATGTCGATAAATATGTTAATGCGTAACTGCTTTTTATATCAACGGTTAATATTTATACATTCATAACATTCATTGGATAAGTTTACCTTGAACACTCGTACACTTTTTAACACTTATAAAAATGTTTATTTCATTTCCTTTGAGCAAAGAGAACGCTATGAAAATGATGTTATTTCATGACTTGATTTAGAACTTGTTAAGAAAGAGATATTACAAGATATAATTTATAATTTGATAATATAATATTTAACATAGATGAGAAAAGTTTATTTGTCTAAAAATTTAAATTTATTTTTTGAATATTTCATAAAACAAATTCCAATTTTTATTTCTTTTCTTAAATAAGCATATAAGTTCTTCCTTCTCTTTGTGGATCATCTCTTTCCATGTTCAATTGCTTACAATGCTAAATTGAACGACTTTAGTTGTTTCGTTATAAATGGTTAAAAATCAAAGGAGACAATCATAAACGTTTATGGTATAAGTGTACATGAGCATCCAAAGTGAAAAACTGCTAAGATTATATAATTTTATTACAAAATTACCTTGACGTCATGATGATGTATAATATTGCTGAATAGAAATTGCCTACGAATACCTTAAATCAAAGGATTACAAATAATTACAACTTGTTTTCTTTTTTTTATACATAAAATTAATATCACAAAACATAATACTCGTAATACGCAAGGACTTGAACGCAAATCAATGTCAGTCAAACGTGGATGAAAACTATCAGTACTATTAGCTAGTTCTTAAGACTATCTAAATTGTTCATTTCACATTCCTACATAGAGATGACTGTACCTTCTATAGCTATGCAACTTCCAGGCATATTCTCTTCTAATATTCCGGAGAGTAAAATGTTATCTCTCCTACCGGAAGAGAGAGAGAGAGAGAGAGAGATATTGCGGTAATATCGCGGCGAGCGATTGTAAAATGAGAGGATGCTCAGAGTAGGGAGTCGGTCTGGAGAAACGAAATCGGGAGAAAGAGGAGAACGGGATGGAGATGACGAAGCGCGTGTGTGACCTGGCGAGGGGACGCGTCTTTCAACCATCGCGCTTTATCGCGATGATAAGATGAGCACGCGTGGACGATCGCGTCTCTCCCTCGATCGCGGATCCAGCTGGATCCGCGATCGAGGAAAAAACGCGGGTAAGATCGCGATATATAAGATTGCGAGCGCAATATGGACATAAGGAGCGCGCGTCAAGAATGACGAACGGGGGGTCGTCCGTTGGTACCTTTGCTCCTGCAGGAATCCCTTCCGATCGTTCTCGTTCCGTCTTCAGCCAACCCGCATTGCCGTTTCCCAGCGTGCCGAGCACGCCAAAGTCACATCACGTTGCTTGTAACGCGAAACTACGCTTACGGTTGTCAAATTTCTCGGAGAGAAACTCATGTTACAAGCATCAAATTTATACTGACAGCCATATTGCTGGTGAACCTGAGTTTTGTCCCCTGGTTTTGCTCCGATTGGACGATCGCGCGCATGTCATACGTCAGTCGGCCAATCGCCGTCCCCGTCCGTTCGATAACCGCGCGAGGATACGCGTGTACGATGCGTGCAAACGGTTCGCGCTACGCGTACGTCCATTTGGACCAATGACGATGTCGACATATGGGCTTTTAATCCATCGATACGCGAGCGCATGGCCTCATTCTTTCGAATAGAAACTTTTATAATGAATAAAATTCCGCGTCTTATGGGTGAAATTTTCAGGTTAAATTATAAACTGTTTCCTCAGGATTCTCAGATATTAATCTGATTAACCTTTAGAAAATTATAGTATTATTATTTACATAGGATAACTATAATTGTAATTTATAATACATATAATTAAAAAAATTTTATAGCGAAATATCAAAGGATTGAATTTACTTGACCTGCTATTTTTATGTTGCTCGGAATGAACAATATAAAAAGAAAATATATACATATATATCTTATAATTTACAAATTTTAATATTATAACTATTAAAATATGATATTAGGTATATATTATAAATTAAAATATATTGTTAATCTTAGATCATTTTAATCGTTATTTCATGCATTGATATAGGAATTAATATAATCAGTACGACAAATTTTATATTTTTTTGTGCATACTAAGAATGTTTATTTGAACACACTCTAATAAGTTGAATATCTCTTTCCTGAACAATTGATACATAAATTCCTTGTATTCTGATCAAATCGAGATATCTATAATAGAGATGTCTAATAATACAATTAGTGATATTTGTAATGTTTATGATGACCTGAAATGAAATAATGCAGTGTGTTATACTTGTATACTTGTATTGAAATTTATTAATTTATAATATTAATTATCTATATTTTTCTACTCACGTAGTTTCTTGTAATTCATTAGGTAGAACGCAATCATACCACCAACTGCCACATGGAAGAATGGAGCTATACCACTTCGTCTGGGTTGTATATACTTATGCTGCCAACGCCAAAACGCTGCAAAACAGAGACAATGTTACGATAGAGGTTCCTTTCCAACATTGTTGTTCTCGAAATCACAAGTGACGAGGGATTGCAGAGTTATGCAATTTTCGCCTAATAAAATGGCCCCTCTCTGGTATACAAATACCTCTTAGATATCTATAATAGAGATGTCTAATAATACAATTAGTGATATTTGTAATGTTTATGATGACCTGAAATGAAATAATGCAGTGTGTTATACTTGTATACTTGTATTGAAATTTATTAATTTATAATATTAATTATCTATATTTTTCTACTCACGTAGTTTCTTGTAATTCATTAGGTAGAACGCAATCATACCACCAACTGCCACATGGAAGAATGGAGCTATACCACTTCGTCTGGGTTGTATATACTTATGCTGCCAACGCCAAAACGCTGCAAAACAGAGACAATGTTACTTGGTTCCTTTCCAACATTGTTGTTCTCGAAATCACAAGTGACGAGGGATTGCAGAGTTATGCAATTTTCGCCTAATAAAATGGCCCCTCTCTGGTATACAGAAAATACCTCTTGAACAAGCTCCTACAATTGCCTGAGGAGTCTTCTGACGTCGCGCAATCCAAGCGGGGATCTCGCTGACCTTCAGATCCAAGAATGGGGTGTCGGCTGCGTTAAATAAAGGACGATTACATAAGATTATTAATCGTGCGGTCAAGTAGAGGAGCTACGTACGTCAAGCGCAACGAACTCACGTTTTCCATAATAGCGCGCAGGATTGTACGGTCCATGTTTCGCAGCATCGTATTCCGGGGGATAGCCACCGATCTTCAGATCAAATTTCGTCGCCATGATGAAATATTCGGCTTTTACAGCCGAATCGATGATTATCGGACGGCCGTCCGAAATTATAATCCTCGGCTGCTCGGCTCTCGATCAGCCGTGGATTATAAAATCACCTCGAAAGGAGCTGTCATTTAAATGGATCTATGCGAGACGACCCTCTTGTGAAACACGAGAACTACGTAGCCACGTCTGGCGATCTTCCCGGTAGGTACACGCCCGCAATTTTGGTTTCGCTCTATGTTATCTTCGCGAGCATCGATGCGAGAAGTATTACGGGATTATTCTTTGATGAGTGATTAGTATTATTTCGCGCTATTATTTAACTTGTATGTACGATTAAATAAATCGTAAGGGTATCGAGGCGACGACATTGTTGGAAGCAAATATTTCCCGCGCTTTATTATTCACGTGAAGTAGGCATATTATTGACGCGTCATATCAATGCGTAGTTGCTGACGTCGTTCCAGGGTCACTTAACGAAACGTCGCGAACGAGAGATGAACCGCGGAGTTTCGCAATGTATTTAATTAAAAGTAAGTCATAATTGAAATCATATTTTAATCATTTTTGATTGCACAGCATGTAAATCCGGTGTTTGACCACGTGCGACTCGTATTGTTTACGCGCTGTCATCTTGTCATTCGCGCGGCGACAATCGAGAACAAGTAGGTTAACGGCACGGCGTCGTATATTAGTTTTCAAGATCGTGAAAAATACTACGATCATGATGTCAATACAAATGTGATTAATGAGTATCACACAAATTCGATTACTCAATTCGATTAAACGTATCGCGGCGATGGCTGTGTCGAAAAAAAATTTTTGCGCGCTTTATTTGCTTGATCGACGCGATAGGAATTTATATAAATCACGGTATATATGATATGGTCACTTACGTGCGTGATATAATCTCATAATATATATAATTACAATAATTATCGTGTATTAAAATTATATTTTAATAATTTTCGATCTCGTAGCATATAAATACGGCGTTTATGCGACAATCGATAATTTATTTAAACTTTAAACTTCTGCCGTATTCGCGCGCATGCGAAATTAGTCTCTAGAGATATCACTAGAGCGACCGTGGATAACTTCGCGCGCTTTTCCCGCGTTGGATTCCGGCCATAATCAAGTGCGCGTCGCTTGCTAGTAAATTCGGGAGTGTCGTGAAAAGTATCATTAACTGATCGCGCTCATTAACTGAATTCGGGTGCGATTAATGCGCGCATCGTAATTGTAATTAATTATTTTCGCGAGTGAGTGTCACGAAGGAGCAACAATGGTGAAATGAGAGAGGAGGAGGAGGAGGCGGCCGGGGGTGGCATCAGGCAACGGCGGAGCAACCAGGAGGTGAATAATTTATTACTTATTTACTATTATTACATGTTAAAAATTCAATAAAACGACAATTTTAATGTGCACAATAATTACTTTTCGAGATATTAAATACAGTTTTTTTTTTTGTATACTTGCTTCAATTTAGATTAAATAGGTATATATATATTTGTATATTTTACAGATGAACGCTGTATGTGTGAATGTGTAACTCCGCCGCTGCGCATCGAATCGGTGAGTTTAAACTGTTTTCTATTTTAATTACGAGAGGTAATGGATTTGTCAGAAATTATCTCAGATATTTATATAAAATGTATTTATAAGATGACAAATACTAAAAACGAATCAAACAATTTAAAGTGTATTTTCCTGACAATTATTAATATATAAAAGTTTGGAATCATACTAATTGCAATAGTAAAATATTATTTATTATTTGTTTTTATATAAATTATTTGATATTAAATGTTATTATATATTAATCATTATTTAGTTTTTGAAATCTTAAAAAATAATAAAAATTATAATTGGAAATAAAAGATTAAATTAAAAATGTATAGAAATGTTATTGATATGTATATATACTTCACAAATTCATTATGTCTTAAAATTGACAGATTAGGACATATTGAGCTAAATATTTTAAATCCTAAAATAAATGTAACGGATATGCGCATACAAAAATATGCACATAATATAAATAATTCATAAAGTGGTTATCATTTTTATTTTTGCATTATTGAGTTTGGTTATTTATCCCAGAAAAATATTTCTACAGCTCGAGTATGATTGGTTCAAAGAGACGAACACAATAATTAATTTTTAATAACAAATATAATTAATAATTTTTTAAGAAAATAATTTTTACTAGAAAGAGGAATAGTTTTTATATATACACAAAAATTTGAAGAAATAAAGATATTATTATTAGCTAAAATATAAGATGGGTTTCGGTCCGTAAATTGGACCATCTTCAGTAATTTGACAGTAATTTTAACGCTCGGTTTTGAAATTTTCAAAACCAAGCGTTACTAATATCATCACAATTGACAAGTGCGGCTCGCTCGACACGCTTGTGATTTTATCTTCTGTCAAATTAATGAAGATGGTCTAATTTACGGACCGAAACGTTTAATAAATACATATTCATACACAACGTTGAGAACACAATTTTAGCGCCCTTCATCTAGCGCATTTGGCTCTCATTTGCCCATCTCCTTATATTTTAGCTAATATTAATTGATATTTAGAGCCTATCATAACAAGTTTTTTTAAAGATATTATATTAAACTTTTTATCAATCACTCTGCATAAACAAAATTTTTTAAAAATACAACGAAAAGAGTATTATGAAGATATAATATATCAATATAATATAATTTCGATAAATTTTTTTCAAGTATATTTTATAATTATTTAAAAATACATTTAAATTATTCAAGATTACATTATAATTAATTAAATTTTCGAGTTTATTGCTTAAATAAATTATGAAAATGGAAGGGAAAAAAAAATAGAAACGATATTAAAGTACAAGATTGATATTTTTAATAAACTAAAGCTTCTTTTATTTTAATTTCTTGGTATTCACATCTCATGAAGATTGGAGTAAGATATTTACATATAGTATTAAGGAAATTAAAATAAATTAATATTTATAAAATACGGAAAAATGTTGACATATTTAGCTATGTTATTTTATTTTTCCTTTCAAATGTCTCTTCGATAATATTGGAAGTTTGTATTTTTGATTTCCTTATTTTTTTATTTATCCAGAATAAAAAAAAAATATTATATAAAAATATATTAAATATTATATTAAATATTATATAAACTAATGTGCATAAGAAAGAATATCAGAGAATTTCTATTGTGCACATGTCATGAACAGAAATAACAGAAAAACTAAAAATATTTTACAATCGGAGCATATAATCCATTTGATGAAAACGCGTTAATTATAATTAATTGTTTTTTAATTTTATAATATGCTAGTTTTGTCAAGTGCACACGCGCGTAATGTTGAAGAAATGATATTTTTAAACATATTGAAACTTCATATGAAATGTTGTAAAGAAGGGCGGTAGAGATGAAATCAAATTGGGAAGACATCAAGACATCGTTATGTAAGTTTTACTTTTGTTCTTTATTTCAAATTCATAATGGCACTTTGACTGATTTCTGTTACGTAAGCTTAAGATTAAAAGAAATAATGTAATATAAAGTAGTATAATAGGCACTCTCTTTTTCGCGTAAGTATATCGTGTGGCCCCGCTAATACTAATACGTGTATAACAAACAATAATAATGCCTACAATTAATTATACGCTCATTTATCTGTCTCTACGTAAGAATATTCTAGAAACGGGTTGTTCTTTATCTTCTAATTAAGTGCATAAGTTTCATAATGAATCCTTGTCGGAATATCTTTCTTTCGGATTTTTAGCATCCAATTTCCAAGAGATCCATTCGTGCGTCCATTGCCGCGATCTTATGACAATATGTCTCTACAACTAACAATAAGATAAATATCAGTAAATTCTCTTAATTATAAATAATTTTATATTACCTTTATTGGTATCACTAGCCTCTCTATTAGACTTTCCTTCGCTACTTCTGTAGTGTGAAACAAAAATTGCCCGATTGTTAAATCCATAATGTAAAAATATGCGATTGTAGGTGTTAGCATTACTTCCTTTTGCTAAACTAAATGAATACAGGCGTTATGCAGGATCTCGATGATACGATAAAAATTGTTCTATTTTTCATCCAATCGTAAATTCACAACGTTGCGTTATCATTGTCCGACTTCTCTCTTAATTCCGAATGTATCGTCTTTCACAGTTTCCTTTCTCACACGAACGCCGCGTACTCTTGTTCCATCTCGCTCAGCATGTTGTAAAGTCGTTTTTTCAGGCTGTCGGTCGCTGCCGCGCGCGGTAAATGCGTCGTATCGCTGTCTGGATTAGCGCATTGTCTCAATAACACAGCCAGCGTGCTGGTGGTATGTTCCGACATTAGCAATCCAGGAATGATTACCGTTCCCGAAAGCGTCCAGCCGAGAAAGATCTTCTCGCAAATAATCTATAAACACATATTTCTAACTTTTTAAAAATTGATAATAAAATTGGAATCATATGAAAATTAGCAATAATAATTGAGAGCGCTGTGCATTTCTTATTTAAAGTCAAAATATATAATTTACATAAATATATAATGAGAATTAATATTCAATAAAAGTAATAATAATATTATTTAATTAATAATATTTTATATAACATATACAAATATATAATATCTCGACAGAGATTACCTGTAAATTATTATTGACAACCGGCGATTCGCAACGCTTATTCTTCGAGCACACTGACCGGCAGTCAAAGAAATCACAATCCTCGTGCTTCTCGCAGCTTTTACCGTTAGCGATGACGCGATTGATGACGCTTTTCGGGAAGATCGCGTCTAGATCCAAAAACTTTAGCTTTTGCCCGCCCAGAGGTAAACCGAAGTGATTGATTTTAATATCGCAAAGATAAAGCGGTTCGGGAAATTCCGTTTCGAGTTCCTCGAGCAGATTGAGGATCATCACGGCGAGTTTCAGTCTCTTGGCCCACTCGGGTTTCGAATCGGACAGGGCTAGCACCGTCGTGGGTGTCTCGATCGGTCTGACATATTCGACCGCGTAAAAGGTGCCACACGTGCCGATCAATTGCGGAAACACGTCCCTATCTTCATACAAAATCATCATTAGATATTCGTTTTCCTGCAGCAACGGCCAGAGATTCCCTATCTCTAGCCGACGTCTCGTCGCCTCGGTCTCTATCCGATGTGTCCGTAACCGGGCGAGTCTCTCCAACTGACGTCGCGTGAGAGTCACGTTTAATTTAGTGATAACCAAGTCCTTGATCATGATGATGAAGTCCTCCTCGGACGGGAAGTGTAGCAAACCGGTCGTGTCCACCCAGTAGAGCGACTCGAATTGCTCCGAGGATGTCTTGATCCTGAGTTAAAATAACATTTATATATGAATTGAAATTCTTTACGCGAGATATACATATATATATATATAGAACGGTGAAAGAGTATATGAAAGAAATAAAAGATTACTTCGAGGCCTTGAACACGAGCCGAGTCGCTTCCCAATGCGCCGAGAATACCGCCTCCTTGCCTGCATGAAGAGATTCGCATGCTAGCGAGTGTATCCCCTTTTCGGCGCATAATGGTTCGCAGAGAATTCCCATCGCGGTACCATCTCGGTGCTGACTGCACTAAAACGAAAATTATGATCGGTTACTACGCGGATACTAAAATTTCAAGCACGTATAAGAATCGAATAAAAAATACTCTGCAAGGAAAAGAAACGAGAAAGAGAGACATGTAATTTCTTATATTTTTAGCTTTATATAGCAATTAGTAAATTAATTATTTCACTAAAATTATAGAATATTTTTATAATTTTATTTCTCTTGCACATAAACTTTTTTATATTTATTACTTTATTTCAATAGGATATATTGTACTGTTGAATTAACTAATTTTGAATTTTGCTTTCAATAAAGTTAGTTTTAATGTTTTGAATTTTGCTTTCAATAAAGTTAGTTTTAATGTTTTAAAAAGGGACTGAAAAACAGAGTGGGAAAAAATATATTGCAGCTAATCAATAAAAATTATTTCGAACTTGTATTAACTACAACTATATTATTATATAATATTAAATATTGATATTAATTTACACAATGATGATACACAACAAAGGTACGCAACAAGTCAGTATCCTTTTTAATATTTTGTTATGAAAACAACCGAATGTAAATAGCATGAACAAATATTTTAGCGCTCGTTTCAGTGGACGATTTCCTTTTTTTGCCACACGTCCGACGAATTGAGAGCAAACGAGTACATATTACTCTCTCGCGCGCGTGGGCGCTGTCACATATATGCGCCTATATTCTTGAGTACCACATATTATTCGCTTGTCGTACCACGGCACCGCATGTGACTTTGTACGGGCTCGTTGTTCTCGTACGATATTTTTAGTCGGTCCAATCGGCCTCAATGAGGGAACGGCTGTTACTTTACAGTCCCCGTATATGCGCGTATGTCATGCGTGTCTGCCGCGCATTTTTCGCCGAAGCGACTTATCAAAAAAGAAAATAATATAAATTATTAACGAAATGAATTATCTCTCATCGTTGTCTCACGTTTCGACAATAAACTTCGTACTATCGCGAAAATTCTTGCAGAAGACGCGAAAGTATGACGGAAAAGCGGAAAAACGATTTTAAATTCGATTTTATGAGATAGTATTAGCAGGAATTACAACGACATTATTCACATTTTACAGACAGAAAATCAGTTATTTTTTCCGTCCTTTGCAATAGAGACAATATTTATCAAAGTAGATTTAAATTAATATTTTATTTATTATGATTTAAAAAATTTAAAAAGAGTTTAAAAAATAATTATCTTTTTTAATTTAGGAAATAAAAGAGACTATTTTATGCTTAGAACATTTTGTACGTATATGTGAAATATTTATTTGCATATCTCTTCTCCTTTTTTCTCATTTATTCTTAAATGCAATGCAAATATTTTTAGATAATTTAATAAATTAAGATAGAGAAATTTTTAGAGTATAATTCGATAACATTAGATTTTTTAATTAAACAATAATTAAATAAATAATTTTTTAATTAAACGAACATACATGATAAAGAGAGCTTTGAAAAATGGCAGATGTCATGTTTCCGCTATTATCTCACATATCTCGCGTGTTTCAGTCAAGTATTATGTAAGCGATTTTTTTTTTAATCCTACGCTGCGAAGTATTGTAATAATCAATGATATATGTAAGGCTTAAATCATAGGACTTCACTGACACATTGTCTTATATTATAATCTTTTTTTACTATTGCTTACTAAAAAGTTTTGAAGATTTTATTCCATGGAAAAAGTCTGGAGTTAATTATAATAATTTTCTAGAAATATTTCGATGCGTTTATCATAAAATTATATACAAAATTTTCGATATTTTTTAGGAAGAATTTATATTTAATATTACGGCAAACATTAATAATTCTGCTTTTCTCTGTTATAATTCTGTTTACATGTTACACATTTTAATGTAAATTTGATTCACTGAAATGTTGAAACGGATTATAATAAATTATTCAATATTTGCACATATCCAATTAAAATTGTATGTAGATTATAATTTGAATAATTTTTTCTTGGGTATAATCGATTTAGCTCGGTGGAATTTTGACCTCGGTGGAAGTATTTTAGAACATTTCAGAGATGTCTTATTTAGAGCGCGAATCGATCCTGACGAAATTAGGAGAATTTTATGGGGGATCGATATCTGTGGAGTGTGTTATCTGGGTTACCGGCCTTGCAAGATTACCACTGCATCAATATCCAGGTTTACAATTAAGTTCTTATCAACAAATTTCTACATACTCATCAATAAACACATGTACGTATTAATAGTAACATATAAAGTTTCCAGAGATAAACTGTCTAATTAGTCGAATCTCTAAATTGGATTTATCGAGCGACACAGTCCCGGGCCAAGTATACACTTGACCTCTCTCATTCATATGGCACATTTATCGCAATGTTTACAATTTCATAATATATTTATTTCATCAGTAATTATTTCAAAAATGCTCCAATCGATTTTCGAATCGAACCTTTTGTACGCCGGCCGGCAAACTCGACCTCTTCTGACAGGTTTATCAAAGGGAGAATAAAACGCGATCAATAATTATCGATGATCAATTTCCGGTAGAAACGATTTGCTATCAGTTAAAAATTCACAATTATATAAACTGTCACACTTGGCATGCTTTGCATACGAGCAACGTGTACGAATTCGCCGCGCGACTCGGCGGATCCAGTTCTTCCTGCCGGAGGCTGCGTAGAGTACGCGCGTGCGTACGTCGCGCTCCCTCAACCCCTCGCCGGCGCAGGATTCACCCCTTACACACTTTCACCGACATATTTACATTCCATCTCGTGCCGTTGGGCGATCGTAAAGTTAGTGATTCGCGTACACCGATCAAAGTAATTTGCGGCAAACTCACCACGATGGACACGTGACGCCAGGCCTCGAGATTCGTGCACATTACACCCCAATATAGAAGCAGGTAGACGACGAGGAACAGGCTGGACACCAGGAGGACCGTTGCGAGCTTGTAGTTGTACATGAAGCCGGGCAGCCGGCGGACGTTCATGATCACGTTGTTGATCGTCAGATTCCTGACGGGGATCAAGGTGAGTGTCGGGAAGAGAGAGTGAGAGAATACGAGAGAGAAAGTATTCTTTATTTTTTTTTTTTCTTTCTCTCTTTTAATCTCTCATCCGCGAGCCGGGCCTCGTCGTCTTCCACGGCGACGCTGCGACGTGTCGCGCCGACATCCCGTCGTCTCGTTGCCGCCTACGCCGCGGCTGCGACTCCCGGCGGAGCCTGTGCTCGTCACCCTGACGTCGCGTCGCGATGACGAGCGCGTTTGCAGCAATGCGGCATAATCTGCGGCGCGTGCGAGAGCGAGGCAATGAGGGTCGCAACGCTGCGCCTCTTGCGGCGAATTACTCGGTTTCCTCCAGGAACGTACGCCGGCGGATCATCTCCCCCGGATAGAGAGGTCTGTGACGTTCGGCGGTTGAAATAGCATCGCGTCTTTTCCCAAATCGTTCGAGTACTCCGAGTACGTTGTAATCGCACGTCCGGACGATTCGAGCTTCGATATTCCGTTCTAAGTCTCTTTTTCTTACGATCTCGCGCATATTTTGGACACTGTTCTAACAACGCGACTGATATTGTTGATATCCCATTAATCTGAATTGCGTGTCGGAGCACGCGTGCGGATAATTTTGATAGCGCAGCTTAGCGTGTTGCGGTTTTTTAATTCGTTGTTCTTTTTTTAAACTTTGCGCGATTGATTGTTATTTATGTGATTTTACAGCGTATATTTATTTTGATATAATTGTTAAATAGTTGTCAAACTTATTAGCAAATTCTATAAATGTAAATTTAAAACATTGATAAATGCTTATCGTTTTTTTATACTGTAGAATCTAAAAAATATAACGTATCTGTCAAAGATTGTGATAAGGGCAGTATCGAGAGCAGTGCTGCGTACGAAGCATTCTAAATCTGCAGCATCATCTTCCTACGTTTTTCTAAAATTGTTCTCTTTATTTCTTCCTTTTCCAAAATTTTTTATCCCAACTAAAAAATAAAAAAAAAGTGCAGTTAATTACAAGAACAGATCGCTTCTCTCTCTCTCTCTCTCTCTCCCGGTAATCTTTATCTTATTCCGGCAGCGTGTCTTTATCTTTTCGTGCGTGGAAATGATATACTGTCGTAGGCGACGCACATGCGTTGCGTCGTGTCGCGTAATGCGTTCGCCAACAGTTTCCGAATCGGACCCGCTACCGAATGTACGGTGCGAGCGAGCGAGCGAGTAGAGACAGAGACGCACCTGCGTACCGCGACGCGCAGCTGCGACCTTCGATGCCCTTGTACCGCCGACGGCCGTTCCGGCGGCAGAGACGTCGTCGTCATTTTTACACGGGACGCACGTCCACGTAGAGGTCCACGTAAGGGAGGCTGCTCCGTCGTTCCGTCGACACCGACGTTGTCGTTCCTCGTTCGTTTATCCCGGTTTCATCTCCAGTCGAGAATCGGTCTCGCGCTCGTAAAGTCGAGGACCGGAAGTGTTCCGCCGAGCGGGAACATCCGCGCGCGAATGCGTTCCGTTCGCGGTTTTGCTTTTTCAAAAAGGGATTAAAAGAGGGAGGACGCTTTCCGAGGAGTCGGTGAGTGCCACGCACGTGTGATTGTTCATTTTTTCTTTTTTTTTTTAGAAAGAATAGAATTTAAAAATTGTATGAAAAAAATTGTGATAAATGTGATGTAAGGAATCTGATACCGATACCTCATCTTCTGATGCAATGTATGTCTAAAGAGTGAAATAGATGTGGTAATTTCAATTTCAATTAATTATATCTAATGACATTTTTTAATCAATAAATGTAGCTCAAACTTTGAAAACTTTTTTCTGTTCTTAATTTTTTTGAAATTTGAGAAAAAATTTTTTTTTAAATGATAATTCTGATTAGAGAATTGAATTAATTGAAGTGTTGATGCTTCTTCTAACCGATGCTTGCTTTGTAACTATTAATCTCTCGGGCAAGTACAATGTACGAAATTTGTGTAAATCGATGCGATATGATTCGCCGTGGGCAGTGTATATTAACGCTTATTCCGACGACTAGCTTCTTGATGAAATTGTTTTGTTCATCTAATATGACCGCACCGATTTTAATCGGTAATGAAAGCGGTTGCGAGATGACATTAACACAAAATCATATTTTATCTCTTCACAAGATTATTTAAGTTTCTTTGTGACTGCTGAAGCAAAATAAAAGTGAAAATATAATGAAACGTATGAAATTTAATTGACTTTTCATATACATAAGAGCTTTTATGATCTTTTTTGGGGTTGCCAATGATTATCGTCGAAAAAAGATATAAATTGTAAAGAAAACCGCGCCCGACATTCTTAATTAATGAGAAGGTAAAAAGTTGATCAATTAGACCAGTTATCAAACTGCCTGCCGGATCTGGCAGACCCATCGATCGCCGAATCTCGTTCGCATCGGGATAAATCTCTCGGCGCGAAAAATACATTTGACAACGCTACCGCGAGACCTTCGACGTGTGTACATCGTAGAGAAGATTGCAATTGCTCTCCCACACCAATCCGTACAGGCGGACGAAAATAAACGCGATTGTACAGTCTACAGCTTGACAGCGATTTACGTTCGATGATTTCATCCCGCGCGTACGAAAGCGCAAATTCTTCTGTCAAAACTGTCCGCGATTAAGCCGTGAATTTCACGCTATCTCGTTATCTAATCATGTGTCAAGCTGAGATTGAATCCTAAATGAACTCTACGGTAAGTTTATCTTTACCATTAGCTTCCATTAGTTTACTTCGCGTAATGACCGTACAATTATAATTGCGATTATTCGCGAGAAGTTATGTTGGTTAATGACCTATCGTGACCTGATAAAGTTCACTACTATCTTCGGACGCGATCTACGAGCGCGTGAGGGGTCACCGTCAAGGGAATGTTTCCCACCTTCCAGTCCCGTGTCGACGTGTTTAAAAAGAGAAACGAGTTTAGTCTTTGATCGTCGCGCGACCAAGTCGTTGAGATAGGTTTGCATTTGACCTTTAACCTCTCTTCTTCCCCTCCTCTCTCACCTTTCTGCTCACCGGCGCGTGTTGTTCGCATTTTCTAGTTGCTCGTGAGAGGTGCGAATTGCGGCCGCGATCGAACGTCACGTCGCACCGATCGATCGACCGATTAATCGCTCGCAGACGTTCGCCAGACCGTAGATTGCGAGATCCTTAAGTTGATTGTAAGATAAAGGTCACGGTCTGCCGTTTCTGCCTGACACTGGCTCTGTCACCCGCTTGATTTTGATTCTATAAAACCAAAACTACCATTAGATTTTTCATTTTCCAAGATTTGCGATGAAAAGTTGAAATAATCTCTCGCAGATCAAGCCTTCTGGTTTTTCTTTTAGTTCAAAATTGAATTAGAATTAATTTTGCTGCGCGTGATAATAGTAATAATTTATAATAGGATGGAGAGGAAAAAATGCGCTCTCATCTCGATAGCGAGAAAAAATTGGGAGACGTGAATCTTGCTTCTACGTCCTTGGATTCTGCGGCGGAGTCAGTGAAGGTCACCTTGATGAATATAGCGTTCGATACGGCATGCCGGATGGATTTTCCTCGAATGTGTGTCGCGCCTGCGGCATTGCTTCTACCACGTGGTTCCTCGTGGAGATAAGCCGCTTTCCTCGCACTCCTACGTGATGCCTAGAAAGGTCATCGCCAGGGGGTCGTTACCCTCGGAGCGGCAAATCCGTTCAGCGCTTTATGGATCTTATATCCCACGAAGATTTTCTATTTCACTTCTTTTTTATTTCTCGTCTCTGATGTTTAATTCTTTCATTTGCAAGATTGATTTTTGTAATTAACATATTTGTCATTAGATAATTTAAAAAAAAAAAAAAAAAACTTGTTATAGCATTGAAACAAATGACATTTACATTGTTAAAATATTTTACATGACATTCATCGATCATTGAAAAGTTAATTACATATATGATTCATTAATATAGTGAATAAAAATAGGATGCGATCTATTATATGATTGGTAACAACCAGAATTACTATCCAGAACGGAAAGAAGACTCGTAATGATTTATGATCAGCTTAAATCTCATATAGATTCAATGTAGCGTCTTCTTATCTTATCCGCTCTGTAATGGCAATTAAATTTCATACACGTTAATATATAACTGCAATAAAATATTTTAGAACTTATGTTTTTTTAATAAGAAAAAATATATTTTTAGTACCGAGATAGTTGATATTTCTAAAACATCTTGTACATGAAGACTTTTATCTTTTTTTAGTTACAAGAAGTTAAATACTTTAATATAAATCAATTATTTATCATTGCTTGAATGAAACTTATTAAGTATCTACTTAAATTGTAGAAAGAGTCGCTTAGCTTGGCAATCTTCAGTAACTTTTAAATTATGTGTTGTATAAAAGACTACTTATATAAAAGTTGCGTGTTTTCTGACATCTGTCAAAATACAACTATTTAAATACAACTATATCATTCTATCGCTTTTCTACGATTGTTCTCCCTCGATTACATCTTATTTAGATATTTTTTTCTTAATAATTAGAGTATATTCTTTAGGAAAAAATTTAATTATATTGTAAAATCGACTCGTATAATACTATTTCACGTGTCGATCTCACAGACGGATCATTAATGGAAACTTGGACGATCGTTTCGAGAAAAAGCTTACAACCTTATTACAACGTGTCGTGCGTCGATCGTGCGTGACGACTCGCGGTAGGTCGACTCGCGCGTTCCTGCAGACGGCGAACGACCGACAGAAAACCGGGCAGGGAGTGGTTACAGTCGCCGAGAAGAAAAAAAAAAAGAGACGAGACGAGCGGGAAGAAAAGAGAGAAAGAGAGGAGATATTGGAGGTAGATGGTCGATTCTGTCTCGCGGTGCATCATCATCGAGTGCAACGGCCAATCGGCCGATCGCATTTTAATCCTCCCTGCGGCGTATCGGTAATAACGCGATTGCCGTTTGCTCGTTACTAATGAGGTCTCGATGATACGATAATTACGTCATTGCATGCGGGATTAAAT